ACTCTTTCCAGAAGACCTAAAACTTCCAGCTGGCTAAAGAAATTAGATGTACTCTCAGGCACACTTCAGTGAAAGGCAAATAAGAACTCAGGTGAAGTTAAAGATATGCAGTAATAGCTGCATGCAAAGTTAGTAAATACTTTGGTAAAGAAATTTGATATTGTTCACTGGGCTTCTCTTTAGACATATTTTAAATATCCATTCCCACTCAAACTATGCTATTTAAACTTATGCCAAACATTTGCAACTCAACTCTCTGCCTTACCAGCATCTGGTCAACATAGTTCTTCAGTATTTCAGCAACTTTTCTGCAGTTTTCAACAGCACTTATGTAATTCACAGTTGTAGCACCACGATTCCAATCAACTATAATGAGATTAATATCCTCTGAAGACAGTAAAAGCTCCTTTATGTCACCTAGCCATGCCGGTGGAGATCCTGTTGGTCTGAAGCCGTGAATAACAAAGACAATTTTCTTGGAGGTATTAAGGTACTCAGAGGCAGCAACATTGTGTTCAATGAGTCTCTCAGAACAATTTGTATTTTCCCTTGTGTATAACAGTAGCTGGACTTGGAGTTCTGTTCCAGACAAAGCATTGCCTATATTGAGATCTGTAAATTCAGGACATTTTTCCTCGTCCTCTGAAAAAGATGAAAATGTTAGACAGTCATTTGATGAATTAGACCACCTGAAATACCACCTCTTCACTTTTCTTTCCACATTTTTCCACTAAAAGTGAAGAACTTACATTTTCTTCACTCCAGCCCTTTGGAATGTGGTGCCAGAACATGCACTGAACAACGAGGAGCCACAGTTTAAGTAACGACTCTGCAGATACCACTATGCTCCTCTGAATCCTTCAAATACAAAATTAGCCTTTCTAATTGTTCCTGAGCAATATATTTTCTCCATAACAAATACAAATTAGTAGTCAGTGTTGATAAGATCCCTTCCTTAACCATCAGATTTAGGTTCTCAAAATTTTTTCACAACTAGTGCGCGTTGCGTAAACGGGAAGACCACTGTGGTTGTTTCTTCCTTTTTTGGCCAGGGTGGCAAAATTGCCAATCTTTAGGCCTTATTGTTTGCTCTAGCAATAAGAAACAGTTGCGTGACAGTATGGGGATGATTCAGAACCCTTCCCTAATTTTGGATCACTATAGGGACACCATTACCAAGAAACAAAGAAAGAAGAAACAAAGGAACCTGTTCTGAGTTTGAAAAAATAAGAATCTGTAAGGTCAATGTACATAATGGCAGAAGAAAAACTGTAGTATTTAGCATTTCTGTACTCAGACAGTTATGGTATACAGGGTTAAGCTGTAGATCAGTCAAGATCTACAAGAGGATGGAGACTTTCAAACGAGTCTAAAAAGACTTAATTTTTCCCCTGTGTGCTTATCAACGTCAAAAGTTAATGCTTTAAAAAGTATCCTTTGGCTGCTGAGGTCACATGTGGATAAGCCACTTCAGGATTCTGGGCACAATGCTGACGCCTGTCACAGTTCTTCTGTATGGCCTCTTCACCTTCACTATGCTGTTAGCTGGTTTATGGCCAAAGAAATTTGGGGCCATCTCTTTATTTCTAGTGGGCTACACTACTTTACAGAAGGCTTTTGTCTGATATTTGATGGCACTTTTCTCAGTTTTTCTGTCATTAACAACTTTGTAAAACAAGTCAACTTCTAGAAAGCAAAAGTAGGAAGAGAAATAGTGCCTACTCAGTTCCTTAAAAAATAATAAAAAAAGTAACCTGAATTTCTCAGAATTTTTGAGTTATAGGAGAGGCAGTTCTAGCTCTTCTCCTTTTCCCAGCAAGCGGCTAGCAGGCAGAACCGAATCCACATTTGCACATCTGAGAGAGACAGAGACCCCTCACCGGTTTATAAAGCTCTAAAGGGCAAGAGCAGGGGGGGGCTTACAAGGTATCTTAAAAATGTATTTGATGCTATAGTGCAGGTCTAAACAAAGCTAAACAATGTGAAATACAGCACTTAATATGGTAAAGACACTAATTCACTTAGGGAACTAGACCACTCACCTCTAGGCTAAACCATATATCTACAATGACTAGACCAGTCACCTCTGGACTGGGCATCACAAAAAATAATGGATATTTCCAAAGCGGAGCAGGGTTGAAGTTACAGAGTGTTAGAAATGGCCTGAAACTTCCTGTCTCAAATCGTCCAGATAAGTTTCATGCCTATCATCACCGTATGACAATAGCTACAATTATGACATCTGGGGAAAGTTAGAGTTATCTTTCAAAATAAATATCACCGCTTTCTCATTTAGACACTGAATCATTTAAGTAACTTTTACTGACATTACTGGAAAGGTTATTAACTAACTACTGATACAGGAAGGCATCTCGGTTTCATTGATGAGACTTATCCAAAAAGTAGTTCTGAAATTAAGAGCTGTTCAGCTGCAGTTGCCTTGAATTTAATGAAAATAATATTCAAGAACCTGGTAAAATGTCATACATGTGACATGATACTGAGATGTTAATAGAACGTGTCACATTTAATCTCTAGTTTTTATATAATGATATACAACAATAAAACTAGAACAGAAATTCTATTACACAAATGTCATATATAAAGCTAAATGATAATAAACAGCCACTTGATTACATTTTTGCTATTCAGATTCAAAGCCACAACATGGAACTCTTTCATTTTTGCCTAGTATTGTTCTTAAATCCAAGTTTAATCACTGATCCTTATGATTCACTCCTACATATCTAATATATAAAAGATTCATGCTAAGATATTGTTGAAGTGTTCCTCCATATCCATTTAAATGTTTTGATTTCTTATCATTTGATTGGTAGAAATAAGAACTAATTCTTCTAAAGCCAGTGGAATGACAGTGACATAAAACAGAGACACAGTCTGGTCCATGGAAGTGAGAAATATATCACAAGGAAATTATTTTAACTGACAAAACGTATTTACTAGCTGGCAAATGTCAAACGGAAACAACTCGTTTACTTATGGCTGTGAAATGACAGCAGTTATTTTTTGAAAAGTAAATAGAGAAAAAAAGAAAAGATGATGCCTTTACTGTAGAATTAGATAAGTACTATAAATAGATTTATAGATTCAATACTTTGAATTGTTTAGCAAGGAGTCATTGAGGGGAGGTTTTTCAAACTCGTATTTCTGATTGATTACTGGAAGGAATACCCAGTTGCCCTTTGTGCACGCTTTTGGGAGTACTCACATACACTTTTCTGTACAGCCAGAACATACAAATAGGTGTTGGGCAGTTACATATGCAGTTTAACTCAGTTAATATACAATTTTAACTTTCCTGTGTATGTTTGTAAGCATTGTAAGTATCTTCTGTGGTTGAAAAGGGGAAAATCTTAACTGAACACTGACTTTTTTGTAACTAAATTTTGCTATTTAAAGCATAATGCGTAACTTGAAAACCTGTCAACCTATCAAGTCAGCAATAAAAAATAAACTTACATTAATATGTTAAAACTATTTCACAATTACCTCTTTACTTGGTACAAAGTGCACATACCTGAGTATGTCTCTGTGCAAAGTACAGCTAGAGATAAAGTATCAGGCTTTGTTCTATTTACTTTAAAATTAAAACCTACGTCTCAGTCTCAAAGTGATCAAATTCTCTTTACTAATCGTCTGCTCCGTTAGACATAATTCACGAGGTTTAATCTTTTGGCCAATTTAAATGAAGGAATATTCATATTTTTATGCTTGAATAAAGCCAAGAGACTACATCGCAAAGAATAAGCTAGTGGTTCTTACCTGATTTCACCCAGTATATCAAACAGATGAAGAAACACAATTTCAGCATGTGGAAACGGAGAAAAGCAATACGTAATATCCACAGACAAGTGCCAAATCTAGTGTTTCCTTATAGTATGTTAGCTTTCTAACCTAACCGAATGCTACTAATGAAGTAAGTAAGTGACATGTGGAGTAGGAAGCAGAAAGCAAAGCTGTATTCAAGCTTCTGCAATTCATGACTCCTCCTATTGAATGACTTCAGTAGGTAGGGTGGTTTCTGGTCTTTAAGGGTTGGGACTGGTTTTTAATCTATTTCCCGCTCTCTTTGGCTATCAGCAGATTTACACGTAAGCAATCAATGTTATATATTACTGACGACTCTGTTACACGCGTGGCATTTAGGAAGCAGAGTAACTAGAGGTTATGTTAGAGACCCACCATGTGCCTTTTTTTAAGTGTGTCACTCAACTGCAATTAGAGGTGCTGGGATGGGCAAAAGAAACTTAGAACAAAAAGTCATTCTGGTGACAGAAGGATTTTTCTGTAAGAACTTGAAAATAATTCTGAGAATGTATCTCCATGGATTATTTTTGCACAAAATTATCTTCTGAGCTTTTTCCAAGGAGTCATTCTCTAATCTAAATCCAGAGGAGGTCTGTGAAAGCACTTATATGGGAGAGGGATGGAGCTTAGAGCCCCACAAACCTCACCCAGACACTGACTTGCTGGATGTTTTGGGTATGTAACTTAACTTCATTCCCTCTGTGTCCCCAACTACAAAACAGATGAAGAAACATTTATTCTTGTGAAGCTTATTTATTTACAAACCAATTCACTGGGTAAATACAAGAGGACAAACTTCAGTTTCTTGGAGTTCACGGTGAGGCAAAGAGGCAGATAAACACTGTATTATTCAGGTGAGAAGTCTGGATGCTCAGTTTGCCTATATCCAGCCCCCAATTACTTCCACAGTAGGAGAAAGAAAAACATACCATAACCACTCAAATATGAGGCAGACGCATCCCAGAAATGTTTATTGCATAGCGTATCCTTCACAGTGCTTCTAAACATAAGGTCTAGGTCTCCTTCTTTTCCGTCCACAACAGTTAAGGGCGGGGTGGAGGAGGGGGGTGTTTCGTTGCTTACTTCTAAGTGATCGGTCTCTTCAGCTGGCTTTATGATTCTGAGCAGCTCAACAAAGCTGTGCTACACAAGCTCCTGCAGCAGATAGCCTTTAGGAAATCTCTTCGAAGTCTTTTCCCCCTTGAATGCAGCCACAGGGAGAAGAAGATGCAGTATGTCCATTCATAGGAAAATCGACTCAGCTTAACCAGTGACCTTTTATTACTTTTTTGCTTCCATTTCTCAAATTTGTCACCCTATTCTCAGTAAAGTTCACTAAGGCAGCTCTTGTTATCCCTTTGCATTCCCTCTTCATCTCAAATCTTTGACACTTTGTCCAACTATTATTATAAAAGCACAGCCCTACTGACATTACATGTTACTTAGAGCAAGAAATGGTATAGTGTCCATTTGGCTCTTTCCCCTCTCTACTTTTTAATACATACTACTGTCACAACAAAAACCTGGTGCACCCAAGCAATCACCAGTTAGGCAGCCTCAGCACGCATTCAGTATGCGGTACGCATTCATATACAAGTTAAAGCATGGAAAGCTCAACACCACTAAAAATGAACTGGCAATAGCCCTAGTAAAACATCTGCCGGACTTATCCAAGAGCCAATCACCTGATCTTAGAAGAAAATCTTTCATATGTACCTTTGCATATACCTAATGACACTAGTTGTGAATAAATAAACACTTGTTCTTTTATACATGAATGGGGAAAAGAAAGGAAATTTTAAGTTCCCTCTTGAACTGAAAACTAGTAACCCCAGCTCATGTGTAAGTAAAGTACTGTGCTACCCATGTCAATATAACGACCCATGAAACAGTTTTAAAGCCCTCTGAAATCGGTCTCAGGAAAGGACTCCTTTACTAAATCAAGGCCGAGAAAGTTTTGCAGTATTTATCACGCTGTTGAACTAGTGCTTGTGGGACTCACCTCTCTGTCATAAGACAAGGGGACTTTGTTCAACAACAGTGGCACTTATGCCACTTAGAAATTCATAAATCTTAACTACAGTTACTGTTTACACTGTTGTTTCTACTGACATCCCACTGTCGGGTAAATCCTTAAAAGCGACTCCGAGTTTCAGGTACACGGTCACAAACAGATGCGAGACCCTCGAAGCTCAGGCACTGCCCATCCCGCTTCCCTGCATATTGTTATGTCCACTGCTTTTCTCACAAGGATATACTTCTTCTCGCACTGAAATTCAGTTACCTGCTCCGAAAGTGCCTTATGCAAACCAGCGGAGGATGCCTGCACTGCCTCTTCAGGACTTCGACTGTCCGCCCCCAGTGCTCAGGAGCATAACAGTAGTACCTCCTGAATGAACCTAATGCTTTTGGGGGAGCCCACAGTCCACCAGCTATTAAAAACCCCTCAAGAGTGGCCAAGTATTCAAGTTGAAAAAAAAAACAAAAAAAACCTTCATTTTATTACAGTACAAGACTACTATGATTTACAGGTAACAGGATGTCACTTTTACAATTCAGTTTACCCCCAAAAGTTTCTAATAAAATAACAGCTAAAAACACTACAGCATGGTTTTCAAGATTAAGATCAAATTCTTACGCAAGACTTGATATCTTGATCTGTGGTCACGTGTAAATGTATTTCCCCTTCTAATCTTCTCTCTACACCCAAGGGTTTTGTCATCTTGGGAAATCCCATTCTCATAATAATTCTCATTTCTCTTACGAATCAAGCCACTTCTCCAGAAAAATTCCTCTCTAACCGCTAGCTTAAGAGCGCTCCTCCCTTTCAGGCAAGAGGAAATCACACCTGGCTTTTGCAATGCACTATGTTTAACTATGAAAAAAAGCTGTCTAAAGATTACAAAGGGAAAAACCCTGACTGGCTGGAAGAAATTTAAGACTCATTATGTATTCTACACTGAGGCTTGTAATTCCTGTAAATTGATAATCCCTTTCTAAATAGACTTGACAAGCCAGTAACTAAGCCTCCATTTGCAAATAATGGGCTTTGAGGCAAAGCGCACCATCTACGCCTGGGGAAAAAAAAATATTTTTCACATTGCTGTCATCAGGATGACTTCTGAAAATGTGCTCCTTTGTAAAATAACACTTTAAAAACATATACTGAATGTTAAATGTGTGTTCGTGCTTGAAACCTGTTTGTAGCAACCATGCAACAGTGGGTTATAACGTGGGTATAATTTCAGCTGTAGACAGCAATCATATTCCAGTTGTTTTTAAATCCTGAAAAATGTACAACATCCGACACTTTACATGTGTATTTTATTAGTAACTATCACAACTCTTTATCATACCGATGACTAAACCACTTGAGTGCTCTAAAGGCCTTTGAAGCGTTTGTCACCCGGCCCTACCCCAGCAGCTGCAGCATGCACCTGCTCCGCAGGGTGCGGAGGGGAGAAGGGCGCTTCCCAGGCCTGCTGTCCCATGGCTATGCGGTCTTCTTCCCGCTCTCCACTGCTCACTTGCGGTTTCACACCGACGAGAAGGGGAAGATTATGGAGCGGTTCGTTT